AACCGATGTCTTATGGAGGGCACCATCCCTAACGTTTGGAAGTTTGTAAGACCTATTATAAAGAAGGACTGTCAAAAGTAGCGTCCAACAGCATGTACATCTGTGGTGTTGGTCTTCCAGAAACTACTTGGCCTTAGGTTTTTCCAAGTACCAATACAAAACGATATTTGGTTGGCGGCATCCGGTTGCCGATTTGCCTGTCACTGTGGCCAGCCACACGAAACCCTGCGCCTACAGAGGGACCATGGGTGGCTTGCGCTGCACTACCCACAGCTCCAACCACACACCCCATATCCAGTGTAAACTCGAAGGAATAAGACCGGGAGGCAGGTGGATGGGAGCCACGTTTCATCAACGGAGCCGGCCCACACTCCTTCACAGGCAAACACAAGAACGCTACATCTGGGGAATCAAGCGTACACAATGCGGTGGCTGGACCGTATTCCGTTCCACAGTGCATGCATGGTACCGCTCTTCGTGCCCAGCACGGCCACGAGGACCGTGCACTCCGTCCCCTCCAGCAACGACCAACTGTCACTTGGAGCCAGTATGAACGATGTAGTGAGTAATGGACAGGTAGGCACCTTGTCAACAAGCACAACAATCGCAGCCACACCGCGGATATCAAGCAACAGCCATTCACTTGAAACGACAAGATGCAATAAAATAAATCCAATAATGCATACAGATACGGTGGCATAACTCTTCGCTAAATTACCATATAAAGTAAGTTGGTTAGCAACGAATGCGCGATAAGTAAAAAATGTCCAGAATTTAGTTAAAAATGCTACAAACGTAACAAAGTTACCGAAGATAAGCGCAATTAGCGTAAGCAAGGTGGCCAGATAATAGAAGAGTATTCAGGTAGGCAGAACAAACCAAATAAAGTGGAATGAAATTTATCCAGCTTAAAAAGACCTAGTGTAAGTTGTTTTAACCCAACTGCGGTGAAGAGGCATCAAGAATGCAACATCAGCCTCGCTATGGAGCACACAAAACGATATATATACCAGTTTGCTTACAAACATAACCGCTCCACACTGGATGCGGTGTCCTATCTTGTGCATTCTGTGGCATCCGCAGTGGATGACAAAGTGGGGCAGTTCGCCTCCTGTTTCTCGACCATACAGATGCCTTCAGTAGAGTTGTCAGATGAATCCTGCTCAACCAGTTGTCTGCAAATTGGGTTCCAACAAGTGTTTGTGGCGTGGTTAAAGAATACTTCACAAACCGTACTCAGTTCACCCAGAGTAATTGAGTGAATTCTTTTGCATTTCTGTCTTTTCGAGGTGTTTTACAGGTAGCCACCCTCTCACGCGCTCCATTTTTTTGATACACTGAATGGCTCCCCATACAATCTACTTTTATTGGATGCAAGTATGCTGACGATGTCGTATTAAGATGCGTAGCTCTAACCGCTGTGACATCTACTTTTCAAAATTTTCTGGATGAGCTCCTGCTTTGGTCCTCATCCCCATTCCTGCTTTTGAACCCAAAGTAATGCCTTGCCTTAACAATCTCGTTTCTCCGACCTGACAAGTTACAAGTTCCTTCTCGATTGGCAGTGAGTGATCAGTTCATACCCAAGTCGTCGAGTATGCAGTTTTTGGGGTCTTTTTTACCCGAAAGTTATCTTGGTCTATTCACGTTGCCGAAACCTGTTCTAAGATTAGACGGTAGTCATTTTATCCTCTTCGACTTAAAGTACTTTCCGTATCCCGTGATTTGATTCTTAGATTTTTGACTGCATGTATACTGCCACATTGGCTCTACTGTGCCCCTGTAATCTTTGCGGGGTTACACGAAAAGTACTATACATTGGTTTTGCTGTCTAGAAAGCTTATTTCCAGATGCAACGGGATGTCTAGAGAGACCCTTGTGGAGTTTATTGCCAACAAGCACCTAGACGTTAGTACCAATTTTTCCTCCAAAATTCCACATAACTCTCGTCATCCAATACATTGTGACCTAACAAAAACATTATCTATTTCCTCTACCTGCTCCAAATTTAACATTCTGTTTTCACGTACTGCATCTTACCGCAATTCTGTGTTACCGTGCCTGTCCCGCTTGCTTATTGACCCAACCAAACCTATCAGTATAATGCAAATGATTTGCTCTAGTGAGAACTGCAAACATTTTTATGCGTTTTATTTCTTATGTAACAGTAAGTTCATATACATCACCATCCACAGTGATAGTGTAACATGTTGAAAATGCACCTACCCGGCTACATAAAGCCTAATTTGACCTGACTCTACTTGACTTGGATACCAACAATGGGACCGTTATCCAAGTGGAGAGGTTCGGTGTAGCTGTCCTCCATCCCTGCACTCCACAATCGACGGTTTCCTCCTGGCTTGCACTCATCTGTAGAGATAGTCGAGCTGAGAGTGGAATTCGGTACATAATGCTTGGTGGCTATCGCCATGATCACTAGGCCATTGAGCTCCGCGAGCAGGTTGCACTTTAACTCCAAGATTACTAATTACATTAGAGCAAGTTCTTGCTTTCCTTGAGCTACACTAAAACCTAATGATTAAAAAACAGTTAAATGCTTCCTGTCTGCTCTTTAGCATGCGTTCATGGGATATATATTTGCTGTCGTCTCCTTAATTTTGTCAGACTAGTTGGATGACACAAGGATTCTGTCAGTAGGTGGACACCAGATTTTACTTCAAATGACCGCCTGATTTAGGGTGGAATATAAGTTAGGAACGTCAGATGAGAATTAATCCTTTGATCAGTTACAAACGTACACATAAATCTTACCGAAATTCTATAAATCCCTCGGACGTTGAGCACATATCGTTACGTTGGAACTATTTGTTGGTAAGTTTTCTTCCACATCATTGTCATGCGCCAATTTATTTTGATGGCGTAAAAAACGAACGAAATAGGCAGTGTACATTTAACTCACACATAGTAACCAGAAAGTATCACTGGAGATCTGCTACAAAATCGATGGCCGTAGGTTCTACGCCACTATCTTTACCTTTAATCAAGGTGGAAAGTTTCACGTCAAGTGCAACTATGGATGCTGGCTGTAGGACTTGGACTTAATACATTGTTCTAGAGTCAGTTGTGAACATCACCGGATTCTCATTCCAATTTCCCTCAAGGTGGGTGATCGATTCCCATGGTAATGTGTGCATCCTATATGCTTTAAAATGGGTAACGCTCCGCGCTTCGATACCATTCTTTGTACACACGAGATAGATGTTGTCAGTTAATGCCTGTCCATTATCGCTCTTCAACTAGGAAATGTTTCTTAAGTATTGCGCATACACATCGGAGGCCGCTTGCAAACGTATACGAGAAGATGACAAAGCGGTAAGTATTTACCTGAATGGGTCTGAGTCTATGCAGTCGATGTCAAGGTTATGCAAATCGATAAATTGAGAAATGTCCGCGTACGCGTTAAAGAAAATATACTGTAGTTGCTGGGCTAATTGAATTAGATGGAGCATTGACTAAATTATAAGGGCGCGAAGTGTGCAGCCACGGAATCTGCTCTAAATCCCCAAGAACTCGTTTGTCACTCACGGTAAGGTTGCAGTGGTGATCGAGCGGCACGTGGATTTATGTTAATGGGAGAATGGCGGTTAATATGTGTTGTAAAAATTGTTGCAATTGGTACTTCAGTACTATGTATATTCAGAGCTCCTCACTAAGCCGTCGCTATTGCACAATAGAACTACTCAGCCATTCCAGCGTTGTTGATGTAGACATAATCGTATGGTGTTCGTGCACACTTAATGTACAACCAAAGTTCCCTTGATCAATTAAAACCCGCCACAACACATGGTCTATTTTAATGTTTTGTAGTTGGGGTTTGGTAGCATTTTCTTCACAGAGGGCCGAGTTTCTACCAGTTATCAGAAAATGTGGATGTTTTGAGGGTGTGGTTCATGGTAGTGAGCGAAGTAACTGAATAGTCTTTTTTAACTTCACAGTTGACTTTCACAAATAGTCTACTCAGTGTGCCACTACCTTGTTTCCTTACATAAGAAGGGGGCAAAAATCGAATTCAATAATTATTCACTAATTATTGTGCATGAAACAGCCTCATGCAACCTACCAAGAAACTTTCTAACCAACTGGAATCGACCACATATGAACATCGTGGCTGTAATATTTGGCAGCCCGTGATCATTCTGAATGAAAATAAGCGGTATTTATTGAGAAACTGGTGTGACCCACAGCACGTTGGCCATGTTAACTGATCATTTTTGGCTGCTTACCTGCGATGGTGAATGGTGACAGATTCAGCTCACATGATTAATCCCGTAGAGTATGAAATTGAGCAAACATACGAGAGGGAATTGGATAGGTTTGTGTTTAGCGCTTCGGGAGTAAGAGGGTTAGATTATTCATCAACAGACTAAATTTCAAGCACCAGCTTGTACACACAAGACTGGTAATGTTAGTTAGTTAGGCCACGATTATCCCAACTTATTGCATCCACGCCGGCAGTATGTTGCGATCAGCGTTTTCAAACTCAAGTGATACTCAGACTGTAAGAGTTGGCATGTACACTGCCCAGCTGCACTCAGTTCGCAATATATGCCTTTGAATGACACTTACTTTTGTTAAGTCAAAAAGGCACATGATTTAAAACATCAATTCTTCTGTTGTATTCCCTGCATGTTTGATATTGTATTGATTATTAAGTGTTTGCTAGCTTGCGAAGCTAGCTAATGAAAGAAACGGAGTAAGGTGTTGACAACACGAGTCACTTAAATTTATCACCTATGCTCCTTGACACAAATGTAAGTTCAAGTCTCCGAAGAAACAGAATTCATGCAATGTTAACTGTACTGGGCAAATTTATACAACCATATATTGTGAAAGAATGGGATGGGTTATTGAAAATCACTAGAACTGAACAACTCTAATGTAGGTGCCCATAACAGTTCTTCATTTATTAGTTTTACAAGTTTCTATTTTAATGTTATGAATTGGTGCAGCGTAAATCAAGGGATACCTCGTTTGCTTACCCATTGCAAGTCAAACACCGCACTTGTCGTCCCGCGGTGGCAAGACAATACGCTTGCATAACTTTGTCGCCTCTGCAGTCTAATCCATTTTGTCTACGCATCATTATGAATGCCCATAAGTGTTGGCACTTGTGCGCACAAACCGCAGCAGGTTTGCAAGACGGGATAGAGTCGCTGACAAATGATCGCTGATTGGCTCACTGCCCCATGTGTTTGTCCCATCTGCCCGATCACAAACGGATTAGGGTTACGTCAAGGTGATCGCACATCGCCACCACCACCAACACCGCCACAATGACAGCGTGCACGCGTGTGCGCGTCAAGATCTGGTCGGTATGGGCAGGCGGCGAATCTCACTGGTAAAGCTGCTTAGCGTCAACCCGGCGCATCGATCCAACATCGCTCACACATTGGTCCACAACAGCGCCTAAATTCACCCATCGGATGTTCGAATAAACCATTCGCTAAGGCAAGAAAACCAACAGCAAGTGGGCATGGAGATATCAAGCCATTGATCAGCCAATTGTCTATCAGAAAAAGAGACAATCGTACTCTTGGGGCTGGGTGCTCTGGGGAAATTAAATTTTGTACATATACGTCCGGTCCCGGAGTACCTTACCGAAGGTGTGTCAGCAGACCCAGTTCTGTACTGGAGGTAAGGCGGCTGGGGAATTCCGAAAAAATGCACTGCTTTTAGCTGAAATGCCGCATTTTTGAATTTGGCCATGTACCTGTCTCGAAACTGGCCTCCCTACTCAGTCAGTGTGACCACTGAACACAATGTGTGAGCATTACCCCTTTGGTCAAGGTACAATGTATGCGGAACTGTAAGAAAGAGTCCATTTGCTTTGGTTTTGCAAATGGCAAAACTACACAACGGGACCTCGGATGTCAAATAAAGATATCTGGTACACATAACGAAAGATGTAATGAAATACCGCATATATATATATATATATGTATATGTATATATATATATGTATATATATATACAAAATAGGAACTAAACATTCTGAATTTTTTCAACATATAACAAAGGTCCATAGCTTTTCTAACTTGTTTATGCATCCAAAAGAATGTAACTATATTTCTAAGGTCACTTACTTGCGACATAAGCAAATTGGCTCGACGGAGGCAAATATCATCTCTCCTTGCTCAGTCAGTCGAATACCTGAAACTGAAATCAGTACCTTGGTTGTTTTCTGACATTTTGAAAATGGCAATGGTCCACCGTATTTTCCTTCCGCCCGTATCATCCTCACACCAGTACTAAAAGTGAACCGGAATGAGATGATTGGTTGGCAATAATCTTACCATTACCACCCTAATTGCATCAACCAGCATGTTGACGATACAGTAGCTTGTTATCTTGCTACCGTTTATTATGAGATAGGTCTCCAAAGTAGAAACAGTTTCGAGAGCAAACGTTCTTTTTGCTACTGTTGACACACAAAACTACCTCAGTACAATGAGTTTAGTCTATTAGGATTCCACCGCATGATCTGCTCAAAACAGCAAAAATGCAAATCATGTGCTGTGCCAATCGTGTTGTCGATATTCATGTAGCCCATATTCCACATTTATCCTTAGCTGAATCTACATGTTGTACTATTTAGTACTTAGTATTTATGTACTTAGCATTTATGTTGTACTATTTAGTATCCATCCTTACACTCGAAAATAATTGGTTGCCACCATATGTTTACTCTACATCCTCTTTGGGCTCTAGTACTGTTAGGTTAAACGATCAAACTCCTTACACACCGCTTTGCAATTGAAAAGTTAGGTGTTTCACTATTAGGCTTCATAAGAAAGTAGAATCCTATCCATTGAGTTGCTTCTAGCTTGCTGTGTGACAAGTTGACTTCGAAAAACCAACTAGGAATTATGGCCAAAGTGCAAAAGCTTTTTCAGTAAGTTCGGGTCAACTCACTCAGTGGAAAGTTGCCGATCTAAATGAACGATTCAATGTCAGATTACTAAATATTACGGCTGTCGTTAGGAGGAGGTCGTTAAATTGATCATGTGTGTGTGTGTGTGTGCAAAATGGAAGCTGAGGGTTTGTATTTTCCACTGCCTTTGGCGAAAATCCTAACCCGATACAATGGTTTCTGAACATCGTTCACATAAGTGCAGTCAGCTTATAAAAATCAGTCCCACCCAGGGTGATGTTCATGTTGACATGCGTGCACTGACAAACTGTTTCTATGACTACCTTACAGGCACCAGTGAAAGTTTTTTGGATCGCCACTGTAACTGCTGGCAAACATGGGAAAAGAAATCGAAGACAATAGCTTTCCAGCATCAACCCCACTGTCTAGTTAACATAAGAGTATTCTGTCACATGATTCTCATCTTAAAAGGCAGTGGTAGTGATGACGCCGCTAGTGTGAAGGGGCTGCGTTCACTACTGGCTATCAAGCGCTTGCTGCTTACAACAATTCCACATTCGTTCGTGCATTCGGTTGAACAAATTGGGTGTAGGGATCAACAATTACACCTGTAGCCCAATGGCTCTACAACGCTTCCTCGCATTGGAATGCAGTTTGGAAATTCGGAGTTCAAGGTACAATAATTTTCGTTGCAAGCACCCACACGTTGGCTCACTCGTGTGATTTGCCTCGCTTCTACTAGGACCGAGGTATTCACATAGTGCAGTTGAGTTGTATTTTGTTTAATTGTACCATATTTAACGTCTTGGATGGACCAGGGCGTTTTTACGCGTTACTCGAGACACACAATGAGTCTGTCTTAGGTATATATACCTTATCGCCACAGTTGAGCATACAGCCACATCTGCCAACGAAGGGGTAATGGGATGTTATGCAGGAGAAAACCTACCATGCGGCCGCACGTTAACTCGGCGCTCGCTTTGCCCTCTGTGGCCACTCTAATTCTCCCCACACAAGATTGTGCGTGCGCTCGTTCGAACCAGTTCGACGAGCTCTACTCAGTGCTTTCCAACACTTGGATCTTACCTGCGTGGATTATACTCACGCTCCAGTTCCGTTTTGGGCATATTCTTTGCCAAATTCCACTAGTATAACTATATCAAACAGGTTTTTCGGAAACGATTTTGGTCTCATTCGGAAGAAGAAGCTGAGGGCTCCCAAACTACGCGACAACCATCCCTGCAAGTTGCAACATAACAAAGTTATAGCCTTTTTGCTCCGCTCATCAACTGAGCAGCTCTAGGGACGCTTATCAGCGATCCACCTGCATCGTCGCTTAAGGCAGGCCGATTAACACACGCTGCCGCTTTGTGTGGGTGTGCGTGTTCAACTGCGAGTCGACTGATCGCTGAACCCGACAGTCTGCGCGTTACGACCTCCATTTGCCTCTACCGACTTATATTGGTGCGGTTGCACAACTCTCAAATCGTGTGCGTGTACTGACCTGTTCGTGCGTCACCACTTTCGCAAAGAACACTCATCAAGGTGAGCGCTTTGAGAGGCCTTGCTATAAACCATAAGAGTACGAGTAGCATTCCAATGGTTCAACGTCGCCTATGTTGCGCAGACAATTGCAGTAAAGTCCTTAAGATCAGTATTACCTGTTCTAGCTGCATTAGATCGTACTGTCCGCAATGTGTAGGCAAATCCGTCCAAGAAGTGAGACAGACAAACCAAGTTGCTGACACAATTTGGTTTTGCCCAACATGTCAAGTCATTCCAGTTGTCAACTGTTTATCTTTGCTCATGAAAAGTGCGACAGGATGACTGAGATAATCGAGCATTTTGTAAATACTAAAATCGATCCCACGGAGGTAAATATGGCCACGATAATACCTCACCCGGCCAAAGTAAGCTCTGAGTTTAAACCGACGAAAAGAACAAGACTCTCCAACCGCACTACAGCCTCTGTGACACTACATCCACTGGGTCACCTCACTCCCAATGGTGGACAAGCCTCAAACATGCCTGCTTCCACTTCGCCAAATATAGACGTTTCACCTGGGGATTCAGCCATGACACCGACAGCTCGGAACCGAAGGAAATCCGGTACAGACAACAAGCGCGTAACGTACGCATCGGTTGCATCGACAAACACACCGGGAGCGACACACATGGATCCATCTTCAGTACGGAGCACGCGTGGCGCAAAGCAGCTCTCACCGTCAAATCCAGTGGTGCCTTCTAAACATCCCGAAATGCTGGCAACATCTATAAAGCCAAAACTCGCAAGATAAAACCACGCTGCGTTAAATCACGTGTGCACCCATGTTCCCGAATCCAAATCTGGCACAATAAAGTGCAAGTTGCAAGACGATCGCAACCAGTGGAGTTCCATCTGCGAGGCGATTGGTATTCGGGTTGAGCCTGCAATGCGGCAACGCGTAGCGCGTCACCCGACCTCAGTGCACTCTGGTGAACCTCGAATTCTTCGATTAACACTAGACTCAGCAGATGAGACAGAGGCTATCCTGTTCTCAGCAGTTCGTCTTCGCAACTCACCGAGCGGAGTGCGCATATTCCCTGATCTACCTTGGAAAGATCGCCCAAAATAAGCAGGTGACCAACGCGGCATCCATGATAGGGATAGCAAGAAAACAATATTTGTTCGTGGTGTTCCCGAGCATCTGTATACTTCTGATCACGATGCACAAACACATGACCGAGTCCAGTGGTGCTACATCCGCGAAGCACTCTCTATTGACAATCTTATTGAGATCAATTTACCCGGTATGTGACTGCTTCGGACCGATAGAACCGGAAGGGATGGCGGTGTGATTCTTTAATATAATGAAAACCTCCTATGTGAAGTTATCGATCACCCGGAAATCCGAGCTCCCGATTCGCTTTGGTGCCGCCTATGGTTGTGAAACAAAAACACATGTCTACTAGCAGCGATTTATCGCCCACCAAACTCAACGTCTGAAATGGACTCCAAACTGAACCACGTTTTTCAGTTTGCTTTGAACAAGTCCTACACCCACATTCTTATCGCTGGAGACTTTGACGTACACGACATAGAAACGCCGGCAGCCGACGGTACGCAGTATAAAGCCTGCTTGCAAGAGCTAATTGATAACCACCCTATGTGCAACCACCTAAACTCTCCCACCAGATTTCGAACTGCTAACAAGCCGCC